GCTCCCCACCGCTTCTGCTGGCTGGTGCTGACCCGGCCAGGCTCCTCCCATCCCCAGCAGCACGTGGGGAGCCAGCTTCAGCCGCATGCTGCTCTGGATGGGACGGACCCGGCTGGGTCAGCACCAGCCAGGAAAAGCGGCATGCAGCTGAAGCCGCCCTTCCGCGGTCCTCATCACGTCTCCCACTGCGCTGCCCCTGCTGGGCTCCGGGATCCCCCAGCGGGTCAGGGCCCGCCCCGGCGAGGTTTCTCACAGCTCTGTGCCCGGCCCTTGGGCCAAATCCTGCTCCGTTTACAGGTGCGGGGCCTGAGTGCCCTGCCGGGCCCTTGCACGGACTCCACGCTCCACATGTGCGGCCGCACTTCCCTTCTGCGCCGGCCCCAGCGGCTCCTTGCCTCCCTGCGCTGGAATGCCCAGGCATTTGCGTGGTGTCAGGTGTGGCCCCAAAACTTTAGCTAAAGGAAAACCGCGGCCCCTCCTTGACCTTGGAGGTGTGTGGCAAAGGGGAGAAGAGTTTCTGGCAGGAAAGGTGGTGGAGTGAAATAGATGTTTCCAAGGAAGGATTTGATATATGTTGTTGGGTACAATGAATGAATTGTAGTGGGATGCCTTCCCTCCACTGGGGATGCTCACACATTGCACAGCCAGAAATAATGCTAATGTCTTCACTAGGACTCTAAAGCACGGGGCAACTGGACTGATGGGCTGGGCCATTAACGGCTCTGTGACGCTTGCATAATTGTCTGAGAACTCCAGCTTACTTGCTGAGATCCAGGAAATGAGTCGTTTAGAGGGAGAGTTTTGAACTGGTTAGACCCATTTCATTGTCACTTCCTGCAACTTCATTGGTGTCAAAGGTCATGTGGCATCACTTCCTGATGTGATACCACTCCCTATGAGGTCTTTGAATATGGCTCGCCAACCCACTGGGTGATAAAAAGTTCGTGATCTGGCCCCACATTCAAAAACGTTGGACAACCCTGTTTTAGAGGAAGGTAGAAGATACCAGCACCATGGTCAAAACTGTTTTGACCATGTCTTCACCATGGAGGAAGTTTCTTTCTGTCCCCCATGAGTTTATCGCATGCCTTATGTCCTGAAGCAGGAGGATTTAATCCCCAATAGAAGCAAATTGTTTTCCCTTAATGTAACAAAATGGCAGTGGTCCCCTGAAAAACACCCAAGAATCATCAAATCATAGAAAATGAGAGTTGGAAGGGACCTCACAAGGTCATCTAGTACACCCCCCTGCTCCAAGCAGCATGCTCCCCAAGTATACCTTCCTCCCTCCCCATAGAAATCCATTATTCTTTTCAAAGTCCTTGGCTTTTTTTTTAAGTTAACTAAATCCAAGCACTCTGGCTGGTTATTAGGATACTAATGAATAAGCCACCTTTGCTTTTTTATTCAGTTACATTGCCAGGAAACCAGTAGTCTCACTGATACATAGACTTCTGTTACTACTTAAAGCACTCGTTTTTACCCTCCAGGACATGGTATAAATCAGTAGTTATCTTGCAGCAATGGAGTATTGTGATATACACATAGTTTACCGCCCTGCGCAAGATACATAGAGCTGCATCATCTGAGATGCGTAAGAGCAGCCTCAAGCCCTGTTTAAGATGTGTTATGGATACCGTAATAAGGAACTTCATTATATGTGTTTGCCTGAAAGTGCAATACAAATCAGTTAAAAGGTCCTTGAAAAATATTTGCTTAGGTCCTTACTCTCTCTCAACGCAGAGTTTTGCTACAACTACCATGCTACTGTAGATGACATTTCCTTCTGTAACTACAGTTCATATTGAGCATCTATGGTATTTAGTCATATGGTTTTTAAGTCTCCTATCTAGTGCAGAACCAAAAAAAAACACAACCTATGCATGATATCATCTTTTTGCTCCTGGCTAATTATATAAGTTAATCAATGATATACAATTTCCAAACGATGCAACTTCAAAATAGGTAGACTATAATCCTCCATTAGAAAATTGTGCAGTACAAATGACAGGCAGTGCCTCTAGCATATAAGCATTTGGATTTTCATGTCCAGTTGGTATCACTAATGACAAAATAGGGTCAGCTGTTTTCTGCTCTCTTTTGCTAACGTTAGCTGTATCTTACTGCATTGTGGCTTACAGCTCTCAGTGTACTTTTCCAAAGCGGTGACAATTTGGGAGTGGAATGGGCCCACAATAAAGCGATGAGCGTATGACATTCTGTTAAGTAAATTATGAAGAAGGAACCTTCCCAAATCACAGATCAACATAGATAATCACAGACAGATAAACGCCGAAAGGACTGAGATTTACGGCTGGATGCACATGAGGTCATGTTGCTAGTCACCATTTACAAATTGCTTACCTGCGTATTCGAATTGCTAGTCACCCTTGGACAACTTCATATGCAAAGTAGTCACATGACCGCATGCACATTTTTGTGCACGAAAAGTTTGCATGTGTGGTTACAGAAATCAGACTTGATACAGACAGCTCAGCGCTTACACCAATGGTTCTCAACCTTATTCAATTCAAAGCCCCTGCAGCAAAAGGCCAGCTCATACCTTTTTTGACAATGGAAAAATAATAGAGCATTTCTGTTGTGAAGAACTCAGAAAGGCCAGAACAGGTCAGAATGTTTTTGACACGTTGGATTTCTATTTGCAACCTCTGGGTTTATCTTGTGAATCACGTGTAGGTGTTTGCACACCTAACAGTGCCAATATTGTGCATCACCTCAAATGGGAATCACTGATCTTCACCTTCACATCTCAACTGTCATGTATTTCTGGTCTGTCTATTTTTTATTCCTTAACATTGTCAGATCCTTTGGTGGGTGAGCCGAATTCAGACTTACCTATCAGCATCCAACTTCATCATAGCTAGGGTCTCTTCAGTACAATTATGCTGGAGTAAGTGCTCTGTTTATTTGAAGCTACAAGAAGCGCTATTCTCTTGCAAGCTAATCTGCAAAATAGCACTGAAGTCAAATATGCTTTTCATTTCCTAATGATCTATTAAAGGGATTTTCACATTCACATCTACAGCATCTGGTACTGGTCACTGTCCAAAATAGAGTACTGAACCGGCTAGATCTGGTAGCCATTTTTCTGTTCCTACCATCATTAGAAGCTAGATTACCTAGCCAGAGATGTTGCATAATGCAGCACATGCTCTGACAGTAGGAAAAAGCTAGCAACAAACTGTATGGGATAAAGGAAAGTGAGAGGAAGAAAAGCAGAATATTGCCATGATTCAAGAATGAAGCCCTCTAGCATCGCTCAGTGCACCTGGATTCTGAAGCTAGCATTCATATTGCCGGTCAGGTCAGCTCTGCAAAATGAACTTCACTCAGGGAATAACATTTTCACACAGATTTTCTTGATCTTGGAAAACTGTCATCCCTTCAAATGACCGGTGACAAGGCTGTTAAGACCCTTTGTGTTCTGATAACCTGATAACAAAGAGAGATTTCAAAACTTTCTCACAAGTTTGTCACGTGTTTGTTTGTTCCAGAAAGCGTGCCTCCAGGAGAATGAACAATCCCAGCAAACTAGAGAGATTTTGCCACCAAATGCATGCATATATCCTTGCATTTAAAAAAAAATAGGATTGCTTAAAGATTGCACTTACCCCGTTACACAGGGTAATAAAAATCCTAAAAAATAGGATTGCACTTACCCCGTTACACAGACATTATCAAAGTATCTTATTTTGCAAAGTAATCTCTTAGCAGACACTGTTTCTGCTGCCTTTAGATAACCTGAGTCCCTGTAGTATATCTCTTGTGGCAGAAAAGAAACAGAACCCTTTTGTAATACTTCAACTGGTCCAGTTAACAAACAGTGCTGAAAAGGCCGTCTACCTCTGACACAAAAGAGGGCCTCCTGTGCTGCCTACAGTCAATGTAGACAGTCTCCCCAAGTCACTGGATGGACTGCATGTCTCCCTCAGCTCACTGCCAGTTGTGGACCAGACAGAGACATTTTACAGGTCAAAAAACAGAGATGAGTCTGGACTGTGCACTTCCCCTCATGCCCAAAGTTCATGAAGGTTCGCATCCGAGATTCTGGTTTGACCCATTATAAGAAGACTTCAACTGCAAAGCAGAGATTGGACTAGCTTTACGGTCCCAGTAGCTTCACGGTCCTGGGATTGGAATAACTTTTTCTCAGCACAGTCCTCAGATTTACAAATCTGGTTACAGCAATTTAAAATAAATGCAACCTAAGACGGATGATGAAAGGGTCAGCAACAGTAGCAGTAGACAGAAAACACAGAGAACAAACTGACTTGCTGTGCATCATGCCAACTTCCTTTCAGCTCTGATCATGCATACAGTAATTCATGTCCTATCCAATATTACCTTTTGATAATCCTCTTTAGATCTCAGAGCAGCTTCCATCTGTTCCTGAGAGAAGGTGTAGATGGCCGAGCGATACTGTGTGCCAAAGTCATTACCCTGCCGCATTCCTGGGGAGAGAAAAAACACACTGGGCTATTAAGATCATACTTCATATCGGGTTTGATTGTAGTGTGAATAGTCAATAGCCCTGATTTTTGGAGCAGGCTCTGTACATCTGGAAGAGCCAGCTCTGTATAAGCCAACAGTCTCATATGTATCTACACAGCTGATTATTTTTAGCAAGTTCATACCTCCTTTGAGTTAAGTAGACGTGGAATGATTCCTCTCTGATCTCTCCATTTAAATGACACACAAATGAAATGTGAACATTTTATATTTGGGTGAATTGCATGGCAGTCAAATACAGAAATAAAGCCTTAATAGATCTCCAACTTGATATTTTGCGTGCGTGTGCGCCCTATGGTTCATTTCATAGTAAGCAAGATATCCCTAAAATACTTTTTTTCACCACGCAAACATTTAAAAATCTCTTGCTGTTAGGCATGTCCAAATATTTCCCTGTAATGCAGAATTAAATCTGGCTGAAGGAAAAGTTTCCCAGTGCATTGAAAAGTGCTGGCAACTTCTCCTTATTTAACAAATGATGAGGTTCCTAGTTTAAAAAAAAAGTGTCTACTGCTGAGTTCTGGCTGCAGCTGGCTCACTACTCCACCTGGATGCACTAGAGGTGGGAGTAACTCTTTGGAAACCAGGGATGTAGGAAGTGGGTTGAGCGTTCCCTGCAAGGAACCCAAAGAGAAAGCATGGCTGAATTTGTGTTTCACAGAAAGTTTCTTTTGGGAATGAACAATCCAGGATAGGTGGAGCTCCTACAACTAGCTTAGACTTTCTTTCAGAGCAGGTTGGAAAAGGGCATCTCATATGAATTGATCCGTAGATGTTAGGGGCTGGAAGGGACCTCTCAAGATCATTAGGTCCAGCTCCCTCCGCGCTTGGGCAGGAAAAACTGCCGGGGTCATATGACCCCAGCAAAGTGAGCGTCCAGACATCTCCTGCGAGAGCGTCTTTGCAATCCACAGACATTGATCATGATGGCATACAGGATTAAGTACCCACTGATGCGGCTCAGTAGTAGAATCCTTGCTTCCATGTGGGAGACCCGGGTTCGACTGCCAGACATGCATATAACTGCAGCCACCAAGGCACCAGATGTCCAGACTTGGACTGGCGTTTGGATTGTGTTTCGATGGCCTAAAGAGGGAAGAAAAGTCTGGGGAGCCTCCAGTCCTCTATATTCCTGCCTAGACATATGCATTGATGGTCCTGGCGACCTCTCACCATGATCCAGAAAGATCAGCGGTTGCCTACTACTACAGAATAATGTCTCGTGGCCAATCCTGGGTGTAGATTTTCAGCCCTTGCCTGGATTCAGCCTACAGAAGATTTGATACTCTAAACACTGAACTATAAGCTATGGGGTGAGAGCAATGCAGGATTTTAGTTTTGGTGATCATAACGGTCTCTTCTAGCCTTGACATCTCTGAACTCAACTTGTCCTATTACACTACATGCTGGCTTAGGCAGGGGCCCCTCCTGAACAGGAAATATTACTATGGCTAGCCAGAAGCTTTGCAATATGACCAGTTACCTGTTGAGATCTGGGCTAAAACGATCTTCTTTATTTAAATTACAAGTAAAAAAGAAAATAGATTTTTACCAAAAGTCTCCAGAGGTGGCAAACTAATGAATTATCTAACTGTGCTACTTGCACCACATGATGCTAAGGTATGAATATCGATTTTGTGTAGCTAAACATACATCTATCAAGTGTTGCTGCTGCTGTTGTCATTATTTTTAATATATTTTAGATGTGCAACCTCTGTTGTCAGAGTGCAGCGCTGATATTTTTTAAGCCCTCAGGCAACTATTACTTGTTGAAATTCGCTAATCCAATGAGTAACAAATGAGGCAAGAAATTCAATTTACTAAACAACTGCTGTAGGAGGACTGATCTTAATAATCCTGGCTTGGCTTAAAAGTGTTTATTTGGGTGGGTGGGTGTGCACCTGCATGGGCGTGCGTGTCTGCATGGGTGCATGTGCAGATGTCTGTAGGTGTGGATGTCTGTGTGTCTGTGCGGGTGCATGTGTATGTGTGTCTGTGTGTCTGTGCAGGCACATGTGTACATGTGTCTGTGTGCCTGTGCGGGAACATGTGTACATGTGTCTGTGCAGGCGCATGTGTACATGCGTCTGTGTGCCTGTGCAGGAACATGTGTACATGTGTCTGTGCAGGCGCATGTGTACATGTGTCTGTGTGCCTGTGTGGCTGCATGCATGCAGGTCTGTGTGCACGTGTGGGTGGTTGGTCATGTGTCTGTGTGGGTGCATGCATGTACATACACATAAATATATGTACATTTATTAAACCAACGCAGGCTTTAGGTAGAACACACGCATGTGTATAGCCACATGTGCATGCACACATGCAGACACACACGCACACTAAAATAAAACCTAATATCAGCTTTAAAAAAGAAAAAGTCCACAATGGCATCTGTGCTTAACCCCGCTTCCTTTCTGGAAGGGCAGTTTAAATACTTTGTCTTTTATGGTACTGTACATTTTTCATTTAATATAATATATTATCATATATTGTAAGGCTTCAGATAGGAGTTAAAAATATGGACAATTAATAGAAATGTGAACTCTGTTGGAAGAAGCCTTGTAGGTAACTCAAAAGCAGTTCTTATTTTAGTCTTTCAATACTATTGCCATTGATTCTAGCAATGCAATATTTCTCACCTCTTACAGCCCAAAAAAGGGTTTTTTGTTATGACAATGGGCCAGAATCTGACTCTAATTTCACTAAAGACTATTCAGTTATTATAAAGTTGCAGTGGTAGGAACAAAGTCAGACAGGCCCAAGGTCTGTACATGGCAGAAAACCACTTTTCAGTGAAAGATAATTAAATGTAGGAAGAAAGAAATGCCCCTTCTACCACCCATAATGGGGTAGATAAGAGATAGGATGAGAGAGAGAAGACAAGACCTAAGGTATTCTAAGGAGCAACTACAACACAGATAAAAACATGGCACAACATCTTCTGGGGAAATTAAAACACATCACCCCACATTCCTCAGGCATATTTAACCGATCCCTGGAGCACATGAAGATCTCTCGGCACCAACATAGAAATCATACAGAAGTAGGGCTGGAAGGGACCTCAAGAGATCATCTAGTCCAACCTGATGAAGTAGGAAAGGTCTTGTGTCCCATACAGGATTGGACCTGTAATCTTGGCATCCACCCCTTCGAGAAAGATATACAATCATGCTCATTCCCAGCACTAAATAACTTGTCTCTCTGGCTCCTTCAGTAAGAAGCCCCTTGACACCCCGGGAAGGGGGTGGAGGGACTTGGAGAACAGCCCCTTCGAGATACCATCCCAAACCCCTTTGTCTGAGACTTTTGCAAACAAAAGCAGACCTGGGCCAGCCACAGGCAACCCAAGCTTCCCGTCTGCCTTAATGAACAGGATCACTCAGAAGTTCTGTCTCAGGTGTTAATCAAGGAGTGGCTAATCTGCCATAGACTTTAAAACACCTGCCTTGCCTGCAGGGTCTCAACAAGCACCGTCTACCCCATTCGGGCGAGGACTGGAAGTCATAAAACTTTGCTGTGCTACATAACACGTAGCTGGAATCAGAGCGCAGACCTCCCTGACCCAATTTGTGTCAACTAAGCTGTAAGGAAATCAGTTCATTTCTAAAATGTAGCAGCATGTCAGGGGGAAGCCTTGGTCCAAAACAAATCATGGCAGATTGGAGCTTATTGAATTTGTTGGTAAAACAGAATAATGCAACAAGGGGAAAAGAAGGAAGAAAAAACCCGTCACTGTGTACTGTATTGTTCTGATTATAAGGAATCCCACATTTGCAGGTTCAGTGTTAGGAAAACCAGATTTTGGCCCAAATATAAATGGATAACCATAGCTGTAGCCCTGGAACCACTATTGCCCTCACTAAATCACACAGTAGATTCAAACAGGCTAAGGACAGAAGTCATACATAAACCAGTATAAGTGATCAGAAACTGGGTTAAACCTGTAACAGAATAGAAGTTCAGTGCACATAAACCAGTTTCAAAATGGCTGAAACTGGTTTAAGATAAACCTGGTTGAACTTAGTATCTGACTCAACTGATTTAGGTCAAACTGGTTTATGAAACTTCTGTCCCAGACCGCAATGAAGGAAAAGAAACACAGGGCTAAATGCATGAAAAATAAAATTTAAAGAAAATGCTCAAGGCTCATTATAGTCGTCAGCCTAAAATTGCATGTCAGCAGATAGCCTAACAAACATTTTTTGTTGACCAGAAAACTGTTTAAAGGTTTAAAGCAGTCCTGGTCCTGGTATCAGGGGCTCAAAATCCAAATCTTACTGATTTGAGGGATGTGGGGAAGGAGAAGTGGGTGGCTCTATTTGCACTATTGCTATGTGCATGTATCAGCACTTCTGAAGTGTATCCGACTCTGCATGGTTTCCTGCCCATCCACCTCATAGACTGGGTCCTGGCTCTATGGCTCCAGTGGTGACCCTGTCATATGGATGGCTCCAGAGCTGGGACCCAATGCTTCCCAGCCCCTGCAGAGGAACCAGAGGTCTGGACACCTTAACCTGACACCGAAATGTTAGGGCTTCTGAGATCCTGGCTTCATGATGAAGGATTCATTCATCACAGACCAAGAAGATCCTGGGAAAATGTCAAGTGGGGGTGATCTGGGCCACCCAGTGTGGTCGTTCACCATGCAAAGTAAGCCCACTGCTGCCATACCTGACCAGATGACCTGGTATGGCACCTTTAGTAACCACGCTGGATGGCTCCTAAGAGTGCCATGCAGTATCATCTGCTCTGTACAATGGTACCATACTGTTCAGATTACAGGTTAACCCTGTACATAATATCTGGGTGTGTTTGGAGCGGAAAAAAGGTCTACTTATAATTGGAACAAGACAGTATTTATGAGCTCCCCCTCAAGCTTCAGTGCCTCGCTTTAAAGAAAGACTTGGGAATCCACCATCCTTCTGTGGTTCCCCGGACACAA